CATGAGTGCATTAAACCTCTTTTTCTTTATAAATTACCCAGTCTCGGGTATGTCTGCTTTAACAATGTGAAAATGAACTAATACACTATCTTTCTCCATTTTTAATGTGATATTTGTGAACATCTTACACAATGCCTGGCACCTGGAAAGGCTGTTAATTAATACCAAAGAACTTCCTAGCATTCCGGGCTTTCTTGGATCTTTCTTGGATCTTCCATTTCATCTTTGCCTTGATCTTCAGACTCAACACAACAGATCTTTTCATTGCTCTTGAATAATTCATACTGATTTTTCAATGTAAATTTTTATTTTACTATTTCTTTTTGAGACAGAATCTCACTCTTTTGAGCTGGCTGGAGTGCTGTGGTGCACTTACTGCTCACTCTAGCCTTGAAATCCCACACTTGAGCAATCCTCCTGCCTCAGCCTCTCGAGTAGCTGGGAGTACAGGCACACGCCACTATGCCTGGTTAATTTTTGTATTTTTTGTAGAGACAGGTTTTTGCCACGTTACCCAAGCTGATCTCAAACTCCTGAGCTCAAGCAATCTGATCACCTTGGCCTCCCAAAGTGTTGGGATTACAGGCGTGAGCCACTTCGCCTGGCCTATTTTGCTATTTTTCTTGGAATGCTGCCTTCCTCCTGCTCACCTACCTGGATTCTGTCCATCCTTCACAATCCAGAAGATCCAAACCCAGTTGTTCTATTAGATATTCCTCAATTCCACCACTTCACAATTACTTGATTCTTCTTTGAAAAAGTCTAGATTTAGTATCTATACTTATTTTTTGACAGTTTATCATAAAATTTAGAGAAGGTAGACTAGTGTTCTCATTACAATGCTATTAATTTTAACTCTGGCAGCAATATAAAACTGAGCATTTTTCCACCTTAAGGACTGACCAAACTAAGGAACAGACTGCTGAGTCTGTAAAGGCAAAATATTTGCTGAATATACAATATTGTCATATTTTGACAAACTGTTTTTTTAAATATAGATACCCTAGCACAGTGCTTAATAAGTGTTCTGCAAGTAGTAGATATTCAGTAAATATCTGCATAATTTACATAAGTTTCTTCAAGGAACTAAATCATTAATCTTCAAGTCATTTTTGTGATAACAAAGCAAGTATAATTTCTAGTTACATCTGATCAGTGACCTCAGGTTATATCTTCATATACAAAATGAAGCAATAAACAAAGAATACATATAGAATATACAAGATTTTTTTTAAACTCCAGCAATAATAATTAAGATAAAACTGTTTATACATGAATGATGAACAAATATATATGTGTGTGTATAATGACAAAGATATTTTCATCGATCACAGATATATTAAAAGAAACTGAAAATCAAACACATTTCCAGTTAGGGGTCCTAATTTTTCCCCATCACTGCTACATAGATTGAACAGGCATTAGGCTTATTTAATATTTTTTTATAAATCAGCAACTTCAGAAAAGCCACACTGCCAAATTTAAGAAATGGTCAATTCATAACTCATTAATACTTAAAGAGCATTAAATATGGAGGCAGATATGGTCCCAAAAATAATATTCCAGATATTGTGATAATGACATAATATAATGTTTAGTCCCATACTTTCTAAAATCAGGGCTTCTCAAACTTTTCCACTGAAATTTCCCTTCTCGACAAAATATCCTAATAAAAAGGCTGAGAGGGAACATATATCCCCAGGTATAAGAAAGCAGAACCTCAAAATACTCCACCATTCTAAACTTCTCATGCTTAATCTTAAAAATTCATGCTCTAAGAAGACATGCTATATTTATTCTATGACTTTGCATCATGTACTCTCAGTGCTACATGTTACCAACTTTGAGAAGCGCTGACTTAAATCAATGTATGTCTATCTGAAAAATATTTTCCTACATTATGATAATGGAACGATTTCATTGTATAATGCTGGGGGCACACAACAATAAAAACTGACATTTGTTGAGTACTAAGTATGTAAAAGGCATTACATTAGGTTTTGGAATATATAAAATCTCAATTTTCAAAATGTAAATTTCATGCCCACTGTAAGGAAAGAACTGAGTGGCACAAGGAGATTAAAATAGCTATCCCAGCAGGGCGCAGTGGCTCATGCCTGTAATCCCATCACTTTGGGAGGCCGAGGCGGGCAAATCATGAGGTCAGGAGATTGAGACCATCCTGGCTAACATGGTGAAACCCCATCTCTACTAAAAATACAAAAAAATTAACCAGGTGTAGTGGCACACGCCTTTAGTCCCTGCTACTCGGGAGGCTGAGGCAGGAGAATCGCTTGAACCCGGGAGGCGGAGGTTGTAGTGAGCCGAGATCGCGCCACTGCACTCCAGTCTGGGCGACAAGAGTGGGACTCCATCTTAAAAAAAAAAAAAAAAAAAAGGCTATCCCATGGCAATATAGCTAATACGGTTAGATACTTTGTATCCGGGTCTCTTTTACATCACATCCTCATCAAAATTTTATTTTTACAGAAATCTCAAGACTCTGGTGTTTTTAACTTACTTTTCAAGAATTTAATGATGCTATGCTCAGCTCAACAATCACTATTGTCTAACAAGAAATTCTTCCCTTGTGTCAGAGCTGTAAATCAACAAAAGGGAATGTAAGACTGTTTGTATTTAAAATACACCAATATCCAGCCACTAAACTGAACCAATTTTTAGGTTCAAGTAAGATTTGGCATTGTAAATAAGATCGGATATAAATTTCATATACAAATCATCCATCTATCTAAAAGAGCAGCATGAGATGATAGAACACATGACCAGAAGTTATTAATACTTAGCAAATCTTCACTTTCATTAGCTTTCATCACTTGTTGCATGAATGTCCTTGAGGTTTTTTGCCTCTCTGGGACTTACATTCACCATATCAAGAAGTTCCTTTCCATTCATAAGGTTTTATCTCTTCATAATTTTGCTGCTCACTCATCTCAGTTTCTATACTTGAGTTTCCATGTCTCACAGCTAGTACCTTTTTATTAACATATTTCTAAGAAATTAATTTTCTTACTCTACATTTCTATCAATATTGGTCCTTTCTTCTTAAAATGCTCCCTCAGTCATTGCTTCTGAATAATTTTCATTTTATAACTACATATTGAACACAACAGCCCAATAAAAGCTGCTAAGTTCACTCTGAGCTCTATCAGCAAACTGTTTATGACGTTAGCTACTACTTCAGTGTATTTGTTTTTTTAAACAGTTTGGTGATTTGACATGTGTACTTAAGCTTAAATTATACTGTGTTTTAAATTTACATATTTAAGTACATTAAAAGTCACAGGTAAACTATGTTACTAACCATCTTCCAGTCTGATTTGCAATCTGTTCTTCCAATTTCTGTAGCTCTGATGTATAGGCCATTATTCGAGCATTGCACACCATGAGATTCTTAACTGCATGTAAAACCTGATCTTTCTGAGTGCTCAGAGAAAGGAGTTTCCATATTCCTTCTCGCATTCGAATTTCTAAGTCTATTTTTTCTTGAATGCTGCAGTCCTAAAAAAAAAAAAAAAATGCATCTTTAAAATATAGCAAAAATCCAAAATTACATTTTAACCCATAATAGATGCAAAATGTACTAGATATCATAATTGTATACCATATTGAGAAAGCAACAAAGTTTTAATATAAATATATGTAGTGTAAAAATAGCTATTTTAAAGTGCTCTTTGCAATTCTTAACTTCTTGCTTCATTAGGAAATCTTTACAATCTAAAGAAACTGAATAAACAGAACATAAACAAAGGTGACAAACATTATGTGTTCCTATAACTATATGAAGTTTAATAGTGTCTCTCCAAACTTTATGTCCACCCAGTGCCTCAGAATGTAGCCTTATTTGGACAGAGGGTTTTGCGGATGTAATTAGGTAAGATGAGGACATACTGGATTAGAATAAGTCCTAAATCTAATGACTAGTGTCCTTAAAGAAAGGTTGCATGAAGACACAGTCACATACAGAGAGAATGACATATGAAGACAGAGACTAATACGTCTATAAGTCAAAAAAATACCAAGGATTGATGGCAGTAATCAGAAGCTGGGAAAGGCAAGAAGAGAATTCTTTCCTACGGCCTTCAGAGGAGCGTGACCCCGCCAATTCCTCGATTTCAGACATCTGGCCTCCATAAGTTTGAGAATAAATTTTTCTTGTTTTCAGTCACTTAGTCTTGGTCATTTGTTATAGCAGCCTTAGAAAACATACAATAACTAACGTGAACAATATATCACACATATATATTATATAAATTGTATTAAGAGATGGCAATGTGGTTGATGACAGTGAATTAACCAAGACAAACATTCTGAAAAAGCAGATACTGAGTAAAGGAGCCAACATTTAGTAGCAGGGAGGAAACAGGCTATTTGTAATAGTAGGCAGTGTAAACACAATCTCAGAAGCAAGAGAGCGAAAGCATTGTACATAGAAAATGTCAGAAGCCTTAGCTATCCGGAACAGAGCTTTATAATATAATTCTGGACATACCATTTATTTTAGTTTTAGGGTTCACCATGAAACTACTAAATAGTTTATTTCTGAAAGTCTTTTATTCCATATAATTATCTTTTAATG